CGTCTACCAACTTGCCTGAGTTAGATATTGTGGCTTCAAAATCACCCATATCCATCAATTTCACATATGTCATTCCTGCGCCAAGAGGTGCAATTGCCAGATGCGTGCAGTTTGGTATAGATGGCTCACTGGATTTCAGAGACTTGGTCTCGAGCAATATTTGTTCCACTTACAGACAGGGCCACTTCGTCATTGTGGTCAACTCTAGTGAGATTGCTCCCTCTCCAGCACCAAGTCGAGCTCCAGGGCCGGCTCCAAGCCGCGTTGGTTCTAAGAGTAACAAATCTAAGGTGTGGAAGATAGTGGGTGGCGTGGTCGGTGGAGTTGTTGCTTTAATTTTCTTGGCTCTACTTGTTTATTTGATGCACCAGTATAAACATAACAAGAAGGTGGCACGGATGGAGCAGCATGCGGATGCAGGAGTATCGGTACATACAACAAGGGTTGGAAATACACATGTTCCTGTGGCATCGGGGACAAGGACACAACCAATGCTTGAGAATGAACTTGTTGCTTAAGTGCTTTGTGGCATCGGCACGGGAGTCCCCTTGGGGATGGAAAGCAAGGAACGAGTGAAGGACCGTCATTCAAGTGTTCTATATATAGAATGAGCAGGCAACCATTTCATTGTTCCTTGTGACCTTGTGTTGGTTGAAATTAAATTTTTTCGTTATGGGTTAGGTTCTGCATTCTACTTATTTACGATAGCATTAGACATTCTTTCGGGGAAGTTGAGCTTATGTCATGTTGTTCTGGTCCTGATTGTTGCTGTTACGACATTCTTATTGTTCGAAATGCCTTGTGTCATGTAAAAGCACCACGAAGGATATGGCATTTCTTGGTAGCTGGAACTGTTTCAATTATTCATTTGTTTGTTGCCTTGTTCAGAGGTATCTTGCTAATAAAATTGAGGATATGCTGATTGCTGATGTCCCAATCATACAGCAAATCTTGTTGTCTTGTGCTTCTTATTCTTGTAGATATTCTCTACTCAACAAGCTACACTTTCTTGAAAGGTATGGATAATTATAGGATTTATGATCTCTCATGATCTTCAGTTATGATGGATTATCGATGGAATTGTTCGGTTCAATCCTCGCCTCGGCAAATGTTGATTTATGTTATATCATTTTGAATTCTGAAAGTGCAACTTAACCTGTAGGGACTGAAGTATTTGAAGTAACCTGGTCAGCTGATTCCTCTCATGCAGGCAGAAGAGTAGAGATCACAGAGCTGGTTGAGATGCAAAAAACCGACAGGCACAATGCATCGTTGGCTGTCGAAGAAGAGAACATATTTGCGAGGAGAATCCAAGAAGATGCAACCTGGCTGTGTTCCCAAGCCAAGAATATGAACGTTGAGAAAAGTGACAAGTACAGGCAGGGGAACAAAGGAAGGTACATTGGTACAAGGAACAAATGCACACTACTGGTTCACTCTTTTTGGCATCTTGTCATGTTTATTCTTTGTGAGCTCAGAGTTAGGTTTTGGAGGCCAATGTTGCAGCCAAGAAGACTTAGGAATCATTCTGACATCACAAGCATTCTTTGCGAAGGCAGTGGGTTTGGACCCCCACCCCACCTAAAAAGCCAATCAACGAAGAATTATAGATGCTTTTCTTTCAGCTGAAGCATAATGAAAGTAATCAGATTAGTTAACATTTTTGAGCTCTTGCATTATATTCGAAAATGTTTTCCTTCAAATAGAAAAGGCAAAACATTGTGTATGATATATCCATCTGAAATTAATGTGTTTTTTCTTCAGTCATCCAAAACTGAAAAGAATACATGAATAGTGCATATAATTTATGACAATTGAAGCAGATTTGTTGAAATTTTATTGATATTGATAATCTTTATAATGTCAATGATATTTCAGAAATTTTGAATACAATATTAGGAGGGATATACATGTTTCTTAAAATTTATAGGGATGACTACATCATTTCCGAATAATAGATAAGTAAAATCTCGAATATTAAATAAAATAAAATGTCAATAATAAAGTTGCACGTTACTATATGTATCAAAAGATCAAAGAAGGCAAAAAAAGAACAGAGAAGAATTCGATACCCAGCAAAACATGCTGCATTTGATGACTTTTGGTCACTGAAGAATGCTAATCGGTTGCATCTCAAAATAATAATCCACATATCTCCAGCTTCGAACAAATGCAAACCCCATATTCTACAGAACATTTCCAACTACGTTTAAGATCTCATGACAGATCATTAGAACAGGCATGAAATTGAACACAGTACCAGTTTCAAAAGCTGCACAGAAGACTGGAATAATCCTCCAGAAACTTGGTTTTTGACTAGTGATATACCTGGATCCACACATGATAGAGATCGCAAAATTAATCATCTTTGATCTGTTAAGTCAACATTGCATATTGATCAACTCTCCAAATTATTGATCAAAGTTTCCGATTTCGAACTTGACATGGGTTCTGGAATTGGCCAGCTGTGAAACAAAACAACAAACGTAAGGGTCCAACAGCATAAAGATCTTTTATTCTCAAATGCAAATTTGCCGCAGGGATAAGCATCTCATGCATGATCACTTCCTGCAATAAAGAGAACACCTTCCGCAGGGATGAGCATCTCATGCATCTCATAGCCATTCCAAACCACCCAACTAAATGTGGTTCAATTATTACTTGCTGAAATTCAACCAATCTTTCTAAAAGAAAACCTCCAAGGATTGCAATGAATTGGGAATGGTCAGGTATTATCTGACTCATAAGAGTTATACCTTGTACTGACTACTGGTCACATATCACCCAATACGATGAATGTGCCAGTGTGATTACTATCTGCAGTTAATATCTTTACTCCATGATGCAATTAATGCACCCTTTTATACTTAAAGTCTATTTATTGGGTACAAATAAAATGGGGAGTGATGTGAGTACTACATCAGCATACCCTTCATAATTCTTCCCCTATCCTTCTTTCATTTATCCATCACTCACACTACTTCCTTCTCTGCTTACAAAGATGAGACAATGGCTTCCTACTCTGGATTTCATACTTGCTGACAAGAAGCAGTAACCAACTCCAGTGATTGGTATTTGGCATGAACCACAAGGTATATTTGTTGTTAGTTTTTTATGTGTGTTTTTCTATCAAATTAATAGTATTGTCCAAATCATTTTTAACATATACAGAGTGAATCCTGTGCTCCACATATACTCAGAACCATCGTACTTTCGTCATGCACTCTACACCACCAGGACCAAAGCTTAAGATAACCATTCCAAATCTCAAACCAAGTTAAAAACTCAAGTCATCTGTATGTCTAAGTCAGTGAAGATCTAGTTTAGATTCTCGGTGAAGTAGGTCATGAAAATTCATACATTTCGGTCACGATCATCAACCTGTCCTTTAATTAACTGACTAATTGTTAGCTTAAAATGGTGGAGTTCTCTTGCAAATGGTCGATGACCATCAGTCGAGTTCTCTTCTCAAGATCTCGATGTCTCTTGCAAATGTCTTCACCAATCATCTGTTCCCATCCACTAGTTCACATAAAATGTCTATCATCTCTTGTTAGGCAATTTATGACAAAATTTTCAACCTCAGCTATTCATGCAATAGAGTAAAGGAATTCGAAACTTTACTTAGCAATTTTAAATTTAAAAGTAAGGAGATGATGAATATTATGCTTAACATTGATATCATTTGAATTTCTTCTAACGAATACGTGGAAGTGCACCGGAAAACTCATTAGAATTTGTTATCATCACATGGTAGCAATCAAACAGTAGTACACTGAGCATAAAATGGGCATCAGTCACAGTTACAGTTTTCAGAAAGTGTCAAAGTCAAACTTCTTATGAATTGTTCCATGCACCAGTTATTTTCCACCAGGCCAAATGATTTTATCATTGCTGATCCAATCTCTAGTTTAAACCCAATATCTTCTATCAGTTTGATTCCAATTACGTGAACCGAATCCATGTCTATGAAGATTGATATCATGCCATTGGATCTCCAACCAAATGTCAGGGCACGCATGGGCAAAAGGCGCAACTTTCTTGTTCAATCATCAAGGAGGTTTTAGGCGAGGATAAAACTAGCAACCCTGACCCATGAACTACCATACAGAAAGCAATCGAGAAAGAAAAAGAACGCACTAAACTTGGATCGAAACAAAGAAGAGAAACCACCATCAGAAACCGACCTAATTCGCAGCACCAGAGTACTGATCCATGAGCTTCTTGTCCCTCCTCTCCATCGCCACATCCAACACATCATTACCAATATGCTTCGGCTGCATTCGATTCCGATAAACAAAACAACTTTATTCCCACGGCAAAGATCACCAGCATCAAGTCCACCATCTAAAAGTGCAAAAAGAAATAGTTGGATCTTACCCTCCCGTGGGCGGCTCTATGGATGAAGTATTGCGCGTTGCCCATCACGCAGAGCATCCCAGCGATGATTCCTAGCGGAAGAACGGCTTCCAACCAGAACAACTTCGCCATCAAGGAGATCTCAGAGGACAAAGAAACAAGGGACGAAGAGGACTCCCTTCCTACCTACCCGATCCGCAATTTGGTGGTGGGCTTTTATGATAATCCGGCCCAAATCGGCTAATTCAATCCGGTCGGACCGGTTTATTTGTGGCTCAAAAATAAATCATTTAATTTTTTTATTTATCTTCAATCATAATAATTAAGAATGGCTTTCAAGGTTTGGAAATAAACCCAGGAAAAGAAATGCCACGTAGATAATGGTGAAATGTCAAGTTATGGAGGGATGCGGTTACGAGCTTAATATAACAACAATTATAGGAACAAATATAATAAATTAAAATTTATATTTACAAGGATTGACTATTAAAAATCCCTAAAATAATTTTAGGAATGCAACTCTGATTGAGATAAAGTATATGACATAAACCCAAGTCAATCTGATTTGGAGAAAGATTAGCCATTTGAATCTGAGCCCTCTTAGGGCAAGATAGAACATATTTTAATTTAATTAATCTGAATTAATTTGGTTAAATCAGCCATGTACTTATAAGATCATAATGACAGTACATATATGATCATGAACATTAACATAAATGCCGAACTATAGAGATAGCGACAGGCCATGGCGGCCAATTGCCCGAAGCCACACTCCTTCTACATTTCTATCAGCTCTTGGAATGCCACCATGGCAGAGTCTGGCAGTCCCAGAAGCACGTTCGTGCTCCTCCTCTCCTTCCCATGCGACAAGAACAGGATCACCTCCTTCTCAGGCAATGCCACCGGCCCCGACTGCACCGGCTTCCCCCACCCGAAGTCCGTGGCGTGGAAAGTCAGCCTGGACCAGGTGGTTATCAGAAGCGTTGCGGTAAGAGGCGGCCTCACTCTGGTCACCTCGAAGTAGTCGATGGCAGACCTCATGTATCCGTCCGTGATCATCCTCACTGCCTTCTGAACCAGTCCCACCGCGAACGAGAACGGCTTCTCGAGAAGCTCCCCTGCATCGCACAAGGCGCTGGTTAGCACGATGCCGTTGCCGAAGTAGCCTTTTGGCAGCGGCGGGTCGAATCTGGACCGGCCGTCCACCGCGAAGAGCAGCTTCGTCTGCTGGTCATGCTCCACCCGCAGGGCCGCCGTGCGAGCCCTCCATACGAGTGCTGACAGAGCCTCGAAGGTGGTGCAGCTGTGAAGGACGCCGTCTCCCGTCGCTCTGCTCTTGAGGTGTTCGATCCTATGCGGGTCGAAGTAGAAGGACTTGTACAACATTTCCTCCTGGTACAGAGATATGGTGCGTGGGGAATCGGGGATCTCCCTGAATTCATGGTGGGGAAACTCGAGAAGAGGCGGATCTCTGGCCTCGAGCACCGTTCGATCCATGAAGGGCGGCACAGAGAGCGGTAGTCCTCGCGCTGTTTCGCACCATGAGTTCACAAACTCCATCGCTCCCAGGCCGTCGAACATGCAGTGGTTCATGGCTAGTCCGAGGATGAACCCCCCACACTTGAACTTAGTGACCTTGAATAGAATTGCATTGTTAGACGGCAAGATGAGAAGCAAATTAATGGAGTCATTTGCATTCTAAGCCAGACCTGAGCTACCAAAGGCGGTATCTCCAGCATGTTCTTGGCGCCTGGAACATCATAGACGAGCTTGCCAAGCATAGAAGGATCAGGCTTCGCAATGTCTCCTATTTGTTCCATCTCGCAGTCTGCTATTGCCTCCACAAACACCGCGCCTTCTCCGGTGCAATCCACAATGAGCTTCCTCTCCGAGCTTACGGTCAGCCTTCCGGCGAGCGGGTAGTAGTGAACAAGAACCTTCGATAATGCTTCTCTGATAACATCACCGGCTTTCTCATTACCTTGATCCGGTGATTTGAAGCAGTAGACTGTTCGAACTATCACCGCGATGTTCTGGTCAAGGTTGGAAAGGAAGTAGAGTACCCTCTCAGTTTCTTTTTCCGGCGGCACAAGCGAGGCTTCTCCTTGCTCGACACTTAGCTGAAACATCTTGGCAGTGAGGTTCTCTTCGGCGGCAGCCTCTCCATGCTCTGAAACCTGACAACAAATAAAAAAGAAGGCATCAGAAGAATCAGACAAGATGAGATTTTGAATTGTTGAAGCTGGAGCAGTACCATCTCTGAGTGTTTGAGAAAATGCTATGGAGTTCTCAGCACTAAGTTGATGAAAAGATGAGATGCTTCAACGGGGACCGGGAAAGAAACTTTATACAGGGAGGGCGGAAGAAGTTGGTCATGGCAACTGCTTTCTTGACCAAAAGTAGCCCATAAGAAAAGGAGCAGTGTAGACTTGTGAAGCAAATGAGTGAAGGTTCGAAGGAAGAACAGTGAAGAAATCTGTCTCCTCTTTCTTCGGAACATCGTGGTGGCTTGCATGTTGAGTGGGGTTTGGCCACTGGCCTTGGAACCAAATGGTAACATTCTACTCTTTCTGTCATTTTGGTTTGCGTTAGTTGGCCTGAAAAAGTTGCTTCATTCAGATGCTGTGCCCTTTGAGCCAATTCTTCAATACCAATTCACTACCTGTAGTGACTCAAATGGCTAATTGAATTTCAGCACAGAAAAGATTTTCCTTTCTTTGTAGATTGTGAAATGTTAATGATATATCATGTTTTCATGTTCCCTAACAAATCCAAATTGTGTTGTTGTGATAGAAATTATCTTGTATAATTGCTTGCCAAACGCTGATTGATCTTTCGGTATGATGACTAAATGCATCGACACATTAAGCTTGTTCTTGTCTTGCAAATGTTTGTGCCAGAACTGGATTTGGATTCGCTAAATCTAGAAACCCGATAATCATAAGAGCTTAGACTGCTTTAAACCTCCTCTTTCATTTATGACAAATTGTTTTCTTCTTTTCAGATCGAAGAGGTTTTATTCTTTTTCATGATAATCAAGTTAGAGAGCCAGGGGCTAAAGTTCCTTTCTTTGGAATTAAACTTATGCCCTAGGCCATTAGCTCAATTGTGCTAGCAAAAGGACCACAAGATTGACAAATGTTCCTCATAAATTACTATCAACAAATGAAGAACATGAAACACAGAATGTTTTCATTCCTTTTGAAGAGCAATAAATTATCATGATCCTGTTACTGAAAAATGTTTGATGCACATGAGTAAGACAAGCCAACAACTTGATGGTTGGTAACAGGTCAGAGACTTGTTTGCCCTCTTCATTTTGTGGCCCAGCAGAGTCACTGTGAGTTTGCCTGTTGGCATCATCTACAAAAAGTTTAATCAATTAACACTTGGCCTGATCCTTCCAGAATATCTATCTGAATCTGAATCCGAATACAACAAGAAAATTCAATTGATCCAAATCCTGTTGGGAGTATTTTCGACTAATAGCACAAGCTGTCTTTTGATGTAAGAATTTGTAGATACCATGCAACTTATATGTTAAGCTCATAGTTAGCATATGATATTAATTTGTGAATGATATTAATTTATTGGATTCATTATATACCTCAGGTATGGATTCAATGAAGGTGGAAAAGGAAGTGAGAAGAATACCATTTGATTTGCTGGTTCACCTTGTCTTAATCAAGTTTAATAAATGACTCAGACTCAGAGTAGCACAAAGTTATTCCAAGAGTAGAGAGATGGAGCATTTCCTACCTGTTTTCAGATGATTGCAATCGACAAGCACTTATGAATGAAGCTATTGCTAATTCAGACATTTCCTAAATAAATGTCTGAATTAGCAAGCACTTATGAATACTTTTCATACCTGTTTTCACTCATCTGCTTCAATGTGTGAGTGAAGCTATTGGAAAGGCTGCATTGCCTTGAAGACTGGTAGGAAAAGTTCCTCTCAAAACTTCCTATCTACTCTCGTGACATGCAAGCTAAGAGCTGCACTACTTCACAAGAAAGCCCAGTGAGTGACTGAATCATGTTGTCTTCCACCAGCCTCAAGAAACTCAAAAAAGAGCTTGATGAAGCCAGAGAGAATCTAGAAGCATTTTCCTGTATGGGTTACCTTCCTGCTTTACATTTCTCTTCAACAGTAATTAATATGTAGCAAACAGTGGTTTCCTTCCCTTGTCCCCTTGCTTGGGACCAGAATACAGCAGTAGCTGAACGAAAGGTCTCATCAAGAAGCCATGTCCCAACTTTCTCACCAAAATCATTTTAAGAGACCTTAATATTCTTATATATATTTTTAAAAATAATGCTCTGAATACTTTGACATGATGTGGAGTTGGTGAGTCAGAGATTGAACATCATCCATGAGAATTGTGATGGAACAGACAAGAGCAGAGGACACACTCAAACAGTCCATAGTGGTTGGTGAGTCTTCCTCCTCCCCACATTGAGATATTCTAATAATGCCGGAGTGTTTCTGCAGGGCCTTTGCACATGTTAGCCATGGAGACAGCAAATGTGAGCTGGTTACTCTCCTCATCATAAGAAGCAGAAGAAGGGAGCATCCCATGGGCATACAAAAGTATACACATATTTATCCTTCCAATTTTTTGGGAAATGTTACATTTTCTTTTACAGATTTTAATATATATATATATATATATATATATATGTGTGTGTGTACTAAATTGAAGTTGTAATTTTGAAGAAGGAAAAGCCATCACCGCCCATATTTACAGTCTACCCGTGTATACGTTCTTATTGATTGGAGGTGACGGTGGGCCACGCGAAGCCCGCCTGCTGGTGCGCCTTTCCAAACATTTGAGGTGGCAGGTAGGTGAGCGGGTCAAGTATGAAGGAAAGGTCATTATTATTCACCGCGACCGCGCACCTACAAGGCGACGCGTGTACCCTCACGCCCCAAAAATGCTTCCTCCACCTGTTTCTCGCGTACCCGTTTGTTTGCGGAAGAAATCGTGGGTTCGATAGAGGTTCCAATGGGCCCCAGTTTTTTCAACCAATCGAAACTCGGGAAGGTGGAGGTAGGAACGGTCTGTCGAGTCTCGACTAAATGTCCCACTTCTCATACGGCAGAAATATTTCTTCCTTTTCTACTCGTCGACTGGCTTCTCATTTTAGACTTACCCGTGTATGCACTTCCTTTGTAATTGGCCAAGGTATCGGGTTAATGCGGGACCCGGAAAGATATGAGGTTGGGTGATTCTTAAGGGGAAGATTGTTGGGTAAGGGAGGTATATACGATTTGATAATATTCCTTAGTGGTCTCGCGTAGCATTAAATACACCAAAATATAACTCCCAACAATTCCAGCCAACCGAGACTCCGCTCTCGCCTGCTCTCTCTCTCTTTCTCTCTCTGCCGTCTTCGCCCCTCTCCTTCCACCCTCCTTCCTTCCCTCTCCTGGTAATCCTCTCTTCCCACCTCTGGCTCTTTTCTACTTCAGTGGAATCTTGTGTGGTCTCGCGAGTCGCAACTGTTGGAAAGATTCGGATTTGTTCTTGTAAGGTCCTCTTGCAGTGGCCTCCGTCCCAGTCGCTCGTTCCTATTTTCTTGAATCGGTGATCTTTCCACGATCCTTTCTTGTTGTAGGTTTTCCTTTCGTTTTTGTATCCCCTTCTTCTTTCCAATGGTTTTCTTGGGTTGGATCTCGCATGGATCTCTGTTATTGGGGCGTGCGCCAAACCTCTTGGGAGAACGCTGGTTGTCGCTTTCTCTGAACGCTTGGGGTCTTTATGGTACATATTGTGAGCATTTTTTTTTTGGTGGTCCAAATATCTTGGGAATCTTGCCGCATACAGAGCCATTGTGGTTTGGAGGAACAGTGTCAGATCTCGAAAGAAAAACGAAGTCTTTCATCTGAATTTTTGAGGTTTTGTCGGTCACATTGCGCATATTGTCGCTAAGTTAATAGTGCCATGAGTGGAATATGCATCTTCCATCCTGTGCGCTCTGTATGCACCTCCCATGTGGTTTTGGGGACTCTTTTGCGTTTGATACTGACATGCATATGCTTTACTGCTATTATAGTGTTACTTGGTGTTGTTCTAGGATTCGAAGTGATTTGCCTTTTCCTTGTTTTACTTTTGTTGGAGTTAGTCCTCAAGTGAATTACTGTACTTGATGATTCTATGTAAATAAGAATTACGCCTAAATGGGAGACAGAGGCCTTCATTTGATTTACCTTTTATGATGATTCTTAATTAAATTAAGATACATGTTTTGAACTTTTGTCATCAAAACAACATATTGAGGGGTGCGACTGGCACTATAGTACGGAAAAGATTAAAATTTTATTCCAAACATCTCTCAGGTCCACTATTTCAGAAGAAAGTTGTTAGTACCACCATATGTTCAGTGTTTTTCGGTCACCAATATTTCTCTTGAAGTTAGCATATTCTTGTGTTGTGGGGAATGGTTGTTGCTTTGTTAGATTATTTGTACCATGGTCTTTCCATGGGTCTTAAGAAGAAAGTCTTATGCTTGTTTCTGAAGAAAATATTTGATACAATCTTGATGCATGCTTAACCATAGCCATATCCAATAATCTACATTGTTCGGAGTGAGAAGGACGGAAATAATAGAAAACTGCATCTATTTTAAGGAGTGATTCAAACCAGAGATATGGTGAAAATAAATCTGTTCAGTCTTAAACCATTTGCATTTGTTGTCTTTGATGGGCAGGCGAAAAAGCTCATGTGCTAGCAGTCACTATTTGCCATACCTATCTAGAACAGCTAAATGCTAATATCATTAGGTAGTTTTTTTTTCAACCATGAAAATTAATAAAGATCACTACAGCAACTATGAAAAGTTCTTTAACGATCAATTAAGAAGATTCATGCATAAAGGCAAATGGCGAGGAAAGATCCTAGGACTAGGTTCATGGTGTTCTGATTGGTTTATGTATGTTACATATTGTGTCTTGCATATACGTGTTTGCTGGTTTGGTGACTTTTATGTTTCGTGGTGTAATTAGTGTGTTGACTAATATCCTGTTAGCAAATCCTTCTTAAGATTTTAAGTAATAGATACATTCCTTGGTTATTACTTCTTGAAGAATATGTAAGAAAGGAATCAGTCATTGCCTTTAGCCACTATTGATGTCATATTATTGTTGTTGTTTCCAACTTTTTACCTGCCTAGAAGTTTTTTTTCCAAATTTACATCCTAGGCAAATATTGGCGTACATGAGACTTGAACTTGGATAAGCCAAAATGCCACATGATATTGATTTATTAAATTATATGGTTAAGTAGTTTTATAAAGCATTGGATTTTCTGAGGATAGAAAACTGTTTCCAAAGTGTAATCTATGTCTTGTATGCATGAGCATTCACAAAGGTTTGCACTGAGTTTAGAAACATTTGCCGTATGAAAAGGCTGCACTAGGTAAATTTTAATCATTTGTTTAAAACTTTTCTCAAAGCCACCAACTAATGCTGTCTCTGAGAAAACCATTCGACTATCCAATTTTAGTTTGTCAGCATCTTCCATTATTCTCAATTCTAAGTTTTGAGTCTATCACATTATTATGTGATTTGCTGAAAAATCTGACAGTAGCTTTCAGAAGTGATCAGTCCTCTACGGAATTAGCTTTTTTTTAACTACACCAAGATGTTTAGTAGCGCAAACTCATTATCCTTTTTTAACCTTGGCAAGACTACTCTCAGTTTATATTCAGTTTGTTCTTTTCTTATAGGCACCCAAATTGTTCTTGCTGGTATGGTTAAGGATTGCACATCTGGAAGCCAAATATTTCAGGCACATTTTTATCATCTGAAATCTACAAAAATGTTAACTTTCCTTTATTCAGATTTTGCTTACACCTTTTTTGAACTGCTAATATGCTGCTGATTTACTTGTGGTGACTCATATCTGAGCAAATCTTTTGGACGTTTTTAGCATATAGCATTTATTCAGACTACCCAGACTGTGTACCTAGATAGTCAGTGTTTATTGCAATACTTCCATGCAGTGCAATGGATTAGATTTTTGTTTTGGTTTGAGCAACTTGTTTTTAACATTTTTCCTTGATCCAGATTGAGAAGGTGAAAATGTCTGGAAAAGCCCTCAGAGACCTTAATGTACTCCCATCATCTGGATTGGATAAGAATTCAGATATATCCGGCAAGGGAAGTTTAGCCAAGTCATACATTGAGAATATCAATGACAATGGGCATGAATTGCAGAAGAAAAATAGCCCCCTTTTCTCTGCTACACTAAATAAAGTTGATATTGTAAAGAGCAATGGACTGGAAACAGTAAATACAGAAGTTGAGTACATAGACTCGGAAAACCTGGCTGATATAGCAGATGTGGATGCAAGTTTTAACGTATGTTTTGATACTTCAAAATATTTTTGTTTCTTTTTCTATTATGCCCTAATATATCAATGCATTCACCATGGGTCTACTAAATAACTTGTAGATTAACTTTTGTTTTGTGCAGACACTGTTAGCTAGGTTAGACTCAAAGGACTGGGTATCTACATGTGAAGCACTCAATAACGTGCGCCAGTTTTCAATATATCATAAGCAAAAGCTGCTTGAGATCTTGTAAGTTCTCTACTCCAACCCAGTGTAAAAAGCATCATAGACTGTAGTTATTTTTTGGTATAAATAATAGATTAATTATTGCTTAGCTCAAAATTATCATATTTTAGCTGCTGTTGTTTTAAAAACTTTTTTATTGTAGTGGAGCTGTTATCCGATTGATTGTGAAGTCACTGAAATGTCCAAGGAGTGCTGTCTGCAAAACGGCTCTCATGGCATCTGCTGACATTTTTAAGGCTTACAATGATATAATTATTGACTCAATTGATCCCTTGGTATGTTCTATTCCTTATCTTCTACATAATCTTATTTTTCTGCTGGTTTCCTGTACTAAATACTCTTAACACATATCTGTATCTTTCTTTCTTCAGCTTGTCCAGTTGCTACTGAAATCCTCACAAGACAAGCGCTTTGTTTGTGAAGCTGCTGAGGTAGCTTTAGTATCAATGACGACTTGGGTCTCTCCCATGCTGTTGTTGCCAAAGTTGCTGCCTTATCTTACGAACAAAAATCCTAGAATACGAGCAAAGGCATCTATGTGCTTAAGCAGGAGTGTGCCTCGACTTGTAAGTCATCTTTCTTTTCAGAATCTCAGTTTCTGATTGGTTCAGCTACCTGCTATAGAATATTTTTGCATACAATAAGCACTTTGTCGTTAAAACACTAAATTAAGGCTGAAGCAGATTCAGCTCTCTTGCTTGAATTATTGGGTCAATGGCAATCAGTTAATTTTGGTCCACTAGATTCCATTTGGATATTGGAGGTTATATATAGATAACCAAAGTGTCGTTTTATAGAATGTCAAAAATTCTTCTCATTTGGAAAAGAGACATCCAAATAAGTATTTGTTTTCAGACTACTCTACCCTATTAATCTCATCCTGCAATATAATAAGCTCAAGTACTAATAATTTGTAATCCACAAAAATTATATTGCAACAGTGACTAGCTGTTAATATCCATGAAAATTACTTCAGTTTCATTTTGTGTCCATGCACTCAACACTTTCTAACACGCAACGTCTTATGCTGTTGCTTGTTTGTCTTAGTTTGTTTACTAGATACATTCCATACGATGTCAAAGGCTTGCTCTCAGGATCTTAGTATTGTCACCATATGCTGCATGATTCCGAATGAAGCATCCTTTACTCTGAAAAGTTCTTTTCAGAGATCTATAGCTATTACAGACTTGAAGTGAATGACCGTGAGAAAGAAGAATTGGGACCATCATTGTTTGTTTAGCTAGGCTGGAAGCCTGTTACATGAAACAAGAAAAGATGTATAGCTATTACAGTGTCGAGGAAGATAATGATGAGATAGTCTGTGACCTTATTCCTGTTAAGTTCTGGCGGAAGCCTAGTATATTAAACTGTAACGAGAGAGGTGGCTCTACATTGTATTAAAGCTGTTGTGGAGCTTGATACAAAAAGGTATTTTAAGTTGTGGGTTCTATATTTGAGGTAGAGTGAGACCAATTGGTGATGAACTGCTGGAGTCTAGTTGATCATGCAGCAAGCGCATGAATCATGGCCATCTGGTACATGAACTTTGATCATGTGGTTCGTGGAGCTTGATCATGCAGCAAGCACATGAACCATGACTATGTTGAACATGAACTTTGATCATGTGGTGCATAGAGCATGATCATGCAACTTATGAATTCAGTAATTCAAGCATGGTGATACATGTGATTTACCAGTAGTGATACAAAGTCATGTAACTCTTCAGAATCTTTTTTTCTTTTTTGCTTCACAACCTAGTGGCAGCTTTTCAGATTCTGCACTTTGCTATTCTTTATTATATATGCATATAAACCGAACCTCTTTCTTATCTAAAGCCATTCTTTTTCTCCATTCAATGAGTTTTTTTCTTTCTTTTTTCTGCATAACCTTATCGCCACATTACCATCGACATACATAGTGAAAGCAAGTCGGCATTCTCATTCAAGGGTCATGTTTGGTTTGTCTATGATATTATTACATTAACCTATACTCATGAGTTGTATCATGCAAAGCAATGATGTTCAACCAAATATATGGTTGTTTACAGGGGATGGAGGGGATTAAAGCATATGGAATTGATAAGCTAATCCAAATTGCAGCTGCTCAGCTCAGTGACCAGCTTCCTGAATCAAGAGAGGCTGCTCGGGCGCTTGCCATGCAGCTGCAGGCCATCTATGTCGATTCTCAAGTCTCCCAGTGTGAGGATTCTGTAAAGTTGGTGGATGCTGATTCATGGGAAGCTTTTTGCCATGCAAAACTGACACCTTTGAGCGCTCAGGCAATTCTTCGTGTCACGGCTACCCCAAAAGAGGGTCTTGCATTGAGTTAATAGCTCGAAGATGATTCCGCCTCTATGCATTTAATATTTTTGTAAATGCTATGACCATAGAAGAAAATATCAAGGAGGCATTTTGTAAAATTGATCTGATAACTTGCATTCGAGTTACTTTGTTGTATAGATTTCAGTAATTCTTTGTTACTTGTATCGTCGTTGCCGATGTTGATTATGGTATAGCCATTTTGGCGATGATACTTACATCGGCCATCTGCCTCGATTTTTATTAAGGCTTTCAAAGTGCTTAAAGTTTCATGATTGGGAAGAAGTATGCAGATTTTATCTTAATTAAAAAAAAAAAACTTTCATGAGTATAAGGCTCTAATCATTTTTTTATTTTAAAAATTTATTATATTAAATGATCGATGGAGACAAACTCTAATTATACTATTAGCATTCTGTTAATTAATAACGCAGCATTCTGATTTGTTATATGATAGCATGGAAGCAGATGAAAGTTGCATTTCCTCAACATCATCAAGGCACTCCAACGCATGCAGAAATCCGAATAATAATAGACGGGAGAAGAAGGAACCCAACGTTGCGGAGATGAAAGGAGGAACCCGGGGGAGCAACCTCGGTGTCTCACCTCCTTCTTCCTCATGGTTCTTCTATTCAGGAGCAAAGATTTGCATGGCGCTTGGCGTCCCCCATGGCCGCAGAGACGAGAAGAGGAACAACCGTGACCGTGTTAGCGGATATATAACCATGTTTCCACCAGCAGTAAAACCTGGTCATGCTACCGCCTTTTCATGGGGCAAAGGAGGACGACAGCTTTTCGGACTCCGTT